AAGAGGTGTGAACTTTGACAACGACCTGTCGAATGATGGGAGGGAAAAAACGGCGAAATGATGAAGACTGGCTGCACTTTTTGGCATGCTGGTGCGCAGAATATTTATTCTCATTGATGTATCGTTGAGAAGGTAGCCTCACTTTGGTAGGGGCCGTCGTGAGGGAAGCAAAGGCCATCCATAACCTCCTCCAGTTTCTTCAACCCTGCGTGCAACCGCTCATACCTCTGAAATGCGCAGCGCACGCGAGCACCAACAACCAGATTCAATAGCAGATAGTAGCCCCCCTAACAAACTTAGCAAAAGCAAAGACGACACCGTAGTTGTCCTATGATTTTGGTGGAATGCCAAGCTTCAGCGTGCCTTTTGCTCAGGCTGCTCGTCTATAGGACACAGGAGAGACAAACTTGAACGTACTGTTTCTCGTCCAATTAATGGGAAGTTATAAGGCTTCTTTAAATTTTTGTAGTGCGGAGAACCTGGGAATCGCAGTGCCACACTAGGGTCGTGCTTGACCCGAGGACCTGTTGGATGCGCACTGCTGGTACGGTCGTCGAAGCCGTCGGAACCAGCAACCACCGACGAAGGAATTTGAGAAGCTTCGCCCGAAGACCCCTCCGCTCCACGTTTTGTATAGTGTTGTTCTGCTTCATCTCGACTCCCCAAAGAGAGCCCTTGTTGCTCTCCCCGGTGACGTCGAGAAAGTGGCCTTCCCTCGCCGGCTGAGCCGCAGCCATCCTTGCCATCAGAGAGCTGAGCAGAGCGTAGAAAGAATAGTGAGCAGCATAAGCATCCAAATCAAGATGATGCTACAACTATGAGTTTGCTTAAACTGCTAAATGGCCTTACAAGTTGCAGGACAGGACGCTGCCCTGGAAGCTGCCGGTGGGGGAAACCTTCTGCCAGCATCCTAACAGACGTCGCTTTATAGGAGGCCAACTGCATAGTACACTTCACAACCAGCAAAATGAGGGCAATAGAAACTGCCACTACTACGGCGTGTTTCCAAGCATGTCCTTGAAGTCCACGTCGCCCGTTTTCGCGCTCTAGGAACGGATTCGGTTGGTAAAGTTCAGCGCCCGCAGATATGGGATTAGTGTTTTCCTGGTCCATTTTAAATACCTGAGGTGTGTCTCGCCACAGCCTGCCCCAGTCAGCACGGTCTGTACCGGTGTATTAATCCGGTGAATTCGATATACTTGTGAAAAATGGTAAATGCAGCAATCAGGAGCAGCCTCCTTAAAGCCTCTACCAAGACATTTAACCCTATTTAAGAATAAGCTTTAAATACAATGGTCGAAGGACTTTTCAATGCCTCGCGGCAAAGTTGGGACTAGGACCGGTACGGACACTGCCGAGCGCAAGGCTAGAAAGTAGTGTACTCAGTCAAGCTTAAATCTCTGTTACCTGCTAACTTAAGCAAAAATAAACGTAAAGTGCCTAATATGTGCGAGCTCACTACCCCAAGACATGTCTAGGAGCGCTGTGTACAGAGAAGCGCTGACGATGGCATGATCGGCAGCAATAACGGGGCCTCGCTCCTGAGCAGACAGCCTCAAGCCGATATTAGATTCTAGCTTTTTCCACGTATTAAATAATGTTTCCTATTTTGGTGCTCATTTTTTATTTTGTTTTCCCTTATGAGACAGGTTGTGGGAGGAATCGAAATGCTCAAAGGCACTGCAGTTGCAGCGAAACCATCTACAGGTGTGTTCTCTTCGCAGAGAACGTTGTGCCTTTCTCACGTAGGTGCCTACATTCCTGCTGTCATGCACCTTTATTCTTAACGGAAAATTAAGGGTTAATCCGTCGAATAGTGGAACATATTTTGGGTAGTGCTCTGCAATACAATGGAAAGACACTTGCTGAAAAATAATGCTCGCGTGCCAGGTCCAGACATAGGCCGTCTGAGTGTTCGAGCTCCAGTTTCAGAAACACCTGCAAACGTCGGCCTATGCTACACATTTTTTGGTGACTTCTTTCGAGAGCTGCAGCTGTCGCCGCCAAGGCTGCTGTGGTAGCAATGTTACTCCATGTTAGACGACTGGGCGGCGTGCACCGCTCAACTTGTTTCGACACATGAAGCAGGGAGAGATGTTTGGTATATTGGGCCCGTAGCTTTCCCTCATGAAAACTTCGTTCCCTCAAGTTCTACATGTCCAGAATTCAGCCTGCTGCATATCGTAAGATTGTTTGATATTGTCAAGTTTGCCTGAAGTTGGCCAGTAAGTCTTTACCCTGCACTAATAGACAATATAGCTAAACATGGAACATTTCTCATCACATGGCTACAGTGTGTTTGTACGTATAGCCAACAGGTTTCTAAATTATATTTTATCCAGGCACAAGCTGGTTACAGAGGCAATAGAAACCTTTCGACAATTTTCTAGGGTGTTGGCCGTGCTTTGAGTGGGTGATTTTGTACCCCGGTTTTCTCGGGTTGTCTAGCAGCAGCAAGCGGAGCATGATTTACCCCACTAGCTCGTGGTGCGCAAGCCCGCCTCCCAACCGGCAGGAAGTCGTTGGACCGGTATGTCCAAGAAACCTGGAGAGTCTGTGATAGACTGGAGTGGAAGTCAACTGCGTGTTGGGACGTTTCACCCTATGTTTTCTGGCCTTATTTCCTGAACTAG